ATGATGACGATAATGATGCCATTTATAACGCGCTACATTTTTGCAGACAAGTCAACAACTCACAGAAGCGGGAGCCAAGCTCAGGCAGGGCTCCTCGAAAGCCCTGAGACCCAACACACACACACAGAGAGAGAGAGAGAGATAGATGCCTTTAAGATGTTTTAGTGAAAGTAGTCAAGAGTGCGTTCGACGTTGCGGATGTGCAAAGGGATTTGAGGCTTCCACGCCGTGATGGGGGTGACAGCAGAGGAACCCACGTGAGGCTGTACCAAGTCCGAGACCTTGGCGTGACTCTCTTGGGGTCACGGCCCCCTGCTGTGCATCTGTGTCGAAGAGCTTCGTAGCTCATCGGATTATTTCGGTTCCAAGATGATTCCGACAAACACGGTCCCGCAGTTCGGGACTGCGGTTTGTCCTCAACGTATCCCCGAGTATCTCCACGAGCCTCCACGAGCCTCCACGCGTCTCTGTGAGCTCGCTATGCCTGCACGGCCTCGTCCATAATTTGAATTGACAGGGGCGACATCGGCGCAACTCTGGCTCGTCGTGAACGTGTCGCGCCAAGCACCTGTGCACATCTCTGCAGAGGTTGCGTCACTCGCCTGACGTGGTGGGCAAACACTGCGTCACACGGACAATCTGGAAGTAAAAAATACAAGGCTCCCCCCCCTCCCCCCCGACCTCTCTGATTGGTACTTAACGGGGCCTGGCAAGGGGATTGGTTAGAGGCAGGGGACGTTGAGGGCGATTGGAAGTACAAAGACACAAAATGGAAAGAGCGGGGAACGGAGGATGATTGGTAGGTTGGGGTCCGTTGGAGAAAGTGAGGAAGGAATTGGATGGAGAGTGAAAGTGGGGGGGGGGGGAGGGCAAGGAACCATCGAGAAAGCGGTTTGAGGAATAGATAGGTGATGGGGGACGCTTGGAGTAAAGGGAATCCTTGAAGACCCGCGTGTGTCTCGTGCTGGGAGAAATAAAGACGTCCAATTGTTGAAGACTGCTGCTGTATCGGGCGTCACAGCATCCCCGTGTGTCTCTATGGGTTTAGCATACAGTCGAATTTTTCATTTTAGCGAGATGTTGCAGCATCAGCCAGTAGATGTTCTGATGTGGTTGATGGTTGCAGCAGTGTGTTGGAAGAGCGGGAGCTTTGGGTTTGGAATAAGGAGGCGTTTATTTCTGGACGTCCACGGTTGTTCCCACTCTGTTAACACAGCAGCAGCGTTCTTCTGCATCTGGGTGATGACATTCTAGGAATGTATGCCAAAGCATGAAAACTAAACGATTTTTTTAATGTTACCAGGTAAGACTCCACTTAGCTATATCGGTCTTTTTTTTCAGAAGCGACCTGGCTATTCAAAATGATAGCCCCAACGAAGTTGCTTATCACGTGGGAATTTATTGCTGCCGATTTGAAGCAGCCAAATACTCTAAATGCACGTGTCTCTAATTGTGGAGAGAGAGAAACTGGAGGACCCAGAGAAAAATCCACGCGACCACAGGAAAGAACGTGCAAACCCACGACCTCCTGTATATCAGGCGAGGTAGTTAACATCTCCCATCCACCATGATGATGATGAGAGAGAGACACGCAAACTCTAAATATACAGCAGCAGGCGTCAGGGTCGGGATGGAACCCACGACCTCCTGTACACCAGGTGAGGTAGTTAACATCTCCCAGCCACCATGATGATGATGAGAGAGACACGCAAACTCTAAATATACAGCAGCAGCAGCAGGCGTCAGGGTCGGGATCGAACCCACGACCCTCTGCGTTCCAGGCGAGGTAGTTAAAATCTCATAGCCACCGTGATAATGATGAGAGAGAGAGACACGCAAATTCCAAATATACAGTAGCAGCAGGCGTCAGGGTCGGGGTCGAACCCACGACCTCCTGCGTACCAGGAGAGGTAGTTAGCATCTCCTAGCCACCGTGATGATGATGATGATGAGAAAGAGACACGCAAACTCCAAATATACAGCAGCAGGCGTCAAGGTCGGGATCGAACCCACGATTTCCTGCGTACCAGGCGAGAGAGTTAACATCTCCTAGCCACCGTGACTCCCCTACATCGCCTTTCCAGTGAGTGATATCAACTATTATGGTCACACGTTATTTGATGCTGCTGCCTGCTGTTGCGTTGGCAGTGGTGCAAAAGCAGTCAACAACAACAACCACAACCAACTCGTGCACAAACGCAGGAAGATGCCCACTGTGCCAAGCAATGCGACTTCACAGTTCTTATTCAAAATTTCCACAATTCTTTTTTTTCACAATTAGCAGATTTTTTTTTTAAACCATTAAAATAAAATGTGTGCGTGTGTGTGTTTGTGTAACATGCGACGTGACCCTGCTTCAGAGCACATTACATATCGACAGCACATGCATGTGCTATGAAAAAGGGCCGTTGTCCGAACGTTGCCTATTATATAATTGTTATATTTTTAAGAAGAAGAATTCCCCCGTACAGCCTCAGCAAATTGTTGGGGCAAGTGCTGTTAGGGAGCACCTGGGTGGCCGGCCGCTTTTATCTCCCCAGTGGCGATGTTTACTGCACACCGCACCAAGTACTCATTTGAGGCTGAGTCAACCTAGGGGACGGCCCTTGACCAATTCAGATAATCGTCACTGGTGTTGGCAGTGTGCGGGAATCGAACTGGGATCGCTGGGTTCGTAGCGCAGCGACCCATCGCTCCCCAGTGCCACAAAGACAAATAACCCCCGTATAACCTTCACAGACTGTCGGGGCAAGTGCTGTTAGCAAGCAGCACCTATGAAGGCCGGCACGGCACACGGGCGGATGAGTGGTCGGAACCAAGCCTGACCGCCTTTGTCTCCCTGGTCGCGATGCTTTACACACCACACCAGATACTCATTTGAGGCCGAGTCGATCTAGAGGTGGGCCCAGGACCGGTTCGGATCATCGTCATGATTCCAAGTAATAAAATTCAAGACACAAGCCACAGCAAATTCGTGGCCAACGTAATCCAAACTATAACACCCAATATAGTGAACCCATATAGAGACACATAGAGACTCGGAGAGATACATAGAGACCCATAGAGGCCCAAAGAGATATATAGACTCGTACAGATACAAATAGACCCATTGACATAGTAGAGAATCAGAGAGATTCATTGAGATCGATAAAGACCCGCAGAGGCACACCGAGATACAAAGAGATACAGAACCATCAATATTAAGTCCGTAGCCATGCAACCCAAACGATGAAACATCGAGTAAACCCAAAGCCACATACAGATACAGAGATATGCATAGCGACTCATAGAGATACATTCAAAACAAGCCACAGTGGTGCGACTATCCAAGCAACCCACACTTTCGATCGTCTAAACTGAATTAAAACCAAATACAGTAAAACCTTGGATTGCGAGCATAATTCGTTCGGGAAACGTGTTTGTAATCCAAAGCACTCGTATATCAAACCACTCGTCGTATATCAGTTGTGATCACGTGACGCCCGGCAGACAAGGCATATACGTACACTGCTCGTATTCCAAGACCCTCGCTCGTTTATCAAATTAATATTTACTTAAAACATTTTCTCGTCTTGCAAAACACTCGCAGACCAAGATACTCGCAATCCAAGGGTTTACTGTATATATATTTTACCAGGTAAGACCCACTGAGTTATTTAGCTCTTTTTAAGACGCAACCTGGCCACGTGATTGGCCACAATGAAGTTGCTTATCACGTGGAAATGTACAAGCAGCAAAATAGTCTAAACGCGTGCTTCTAAAAGTGGAGGGAAAACCCGGAGGGCCTGGGGAAAAATGCACGCGGCCACGGTTAGGGCGACAGACACCGCAAACTCCAAATATACAGCAGCAGCAGGTGTCAGGGTCGGGATCGAGCGCACGACCTCCTGTACACCAGGCGAGGTAGTTAACATCTCATAGCCACCGTGATGATGATGATGATGAGAGAGAGAGACACCGCAAACTCCAAATATACAGCAGCAGCAGGTGTCAGGGTCGGGATCGAGCGCACGACCTCCTGTATACCGAGCGAGGTAGTTAACATCTCCTAGCCACCGCGGCGCCTTCAGACCCACTGTGGTAGTCTGCGCTGCTTGGACTGAGGAGGAATAGCAATACGACACAAACTCTCTCTCTCTCTCCCTCTCGTCGTGGCCAGCAGCAGTAACAGCTATCCCCGACATTTGGAATTTATCTCCCCAGCAACAGGGCCCATCACACGCAAGAGCGGAATTGTCATTTGCAGGTCATGTTTTTTTTTTTACATTGGGATGTCTTGGCCCACTACCAGTTACATTGCATGGTTTGGTTTTCAGCTGAAGGGGGGTGGGGGTGAAAACCAGGAACCTTTGTAGCCTTGAACAGACTGTTGGGGCAAACGCTATTTGCGAGCGCCTATTAAGGCCGGTAGGGCACACGCGGCGGTGTGGTAGGCCAGCGACACGCGCGGCCGCCTTTGTCTCCCCGTGTCCTTTCGACACCGCACCGGGTAATCATTTAAGCCCGAGTCAGGCGAGGAGGGGAGTCTCAGACCGGCTCACATGTTCGTCACCGATTGTTGTGGCCGTGAGCGGGAATCGAACTCTTGCGCCCCGCGGGTTTCACTGCGCAGTGCGCTAACAACAGCGCCACCGCTCACGAAGACGACCAACAGCAGCAGCCGCCGATCGCCACGCAGTGGCGGTGACGTCACCACAAGCGCCTGTGCCCGGCTAGGTGCACGAAGACTCACTCAGTTTAACACGTAGGCCTTCGCGACGAAAATCATCCACAACACAGGTTCTTTGGGGTTATATCGCGTAAATATGTGTCGCTAAACCCGCCACCACCCGACACAGCCAATTAGTAAGGTGTGTCACGTAAACAGAACGTGCCAATTCGTCACTAGTACAGCACTAACCGGTTGTGTATTGGAGAGCAAATCCACAACATTACCAATCTGAGTTCGACGTTTCGCCAGTAATTACAAGCGGCATCATCAGGCGGACAACCAGACTCACCTGCACCAGGTCCTCGGCCGGTTGCGAGCGCCAGGACCAACCACGTGACCAGCGCGGACCCCCCCATGGCTCCTCCCCCCACCCTCACACACCTGCACAAAGCCACGCCCCTTCCCACCTGTCCACCAATCACATGGCTTTCACAGGAATCTCTCCCTCCCCCTCCAGACGCAGCAGGATCCACGTTCGATCCCCGGTGTCGGCTCACGGAGACTCAACAGTGGCGTCCGCAGGAATTCGTCACCAGGCTGATGATGATGATGCTGGTGGTGGTGGTGGTGCAGAGCGCCCCCGTTGTGAAGTCTCCAGCGCCAAAGTCCGCCCGTCCCTGGCTGGGATTCGAACTTGTTCGCCCCCCTTGGCTGTGTCGTTTTTGGTCGGCGGGTCCTCCGGTCAGCGCATTCGCTCAACGGCTGCCGCAAAGCAGTCGCGGGTTCCGTTTGCGCGGTCGTGCAGAGGATAACGACGCCTGCCCCGGGCGCCGCCTTCACGAGACGATTGTGGAGGGCAAGGGTCGTTGTTAGCGATCGCCTATTTTTGGCCTCCAGCAACGGAGGTGGAGGTGGCGTGTGGCTAGCACCACGCCAGACCTCGCCCGAGTGTTGATATTTTATTAAAAGCCGAGTCGACCGTGAGCAAGAATGGAACTCGGGATCACGAACTCCACTTGCAGTTGGTGAAGTTGGAGGGAGGGAGCGAGGCTCGGGATCGGCTTCGGATGTCACTCGCCACTGATGTCAGCCGTGGGCACAGGGAATCGAACTCGGTTCGCCAGGCTCGTAACGCAGTGCCCTAACCACTGCGCCACCGCTCCCCCCGCCCGACGCTCCCTTATATACTTACGCCCGTAAATTAACTCGTGCGCTCACGCATGTAATCACTTTCCACGTTATCCACTCGCCATCTATTCACTCGCTTAGCCACCAATTCACCTACAACAAGCCCATTTTTTTTACTCACTCGTAAACCCGCCGATTCATCCGCTAACACACACTCACTCCCCACACTCACTCAAACATGAATTCACTCACTCATTAATTAACTGACTCACTAATTCACTCGCTCAAACACGAATTTACTCACTCGATAATTCACTCACTCAATAATTAACTCACTCACTAATTAACTCCCTTAAACACAAATTTACTCAATCACTAATTCACTCCTCAATAAATTCACTCACTCAAACACGAATTTACTCAAGCACTAATTCACTCACTCAATAGTAAACCCACTCACTAATTAACTATTTGACTAATTCACTCACTCAAACACGAATCTACTCCCGCACTAAATTCAATTGCGAGCGAGCTCGTCAATTCACTGACCCACTCAAACACCAAATCACTCACTAAATTCACCCACACCGCTCACAGTCTCAGACACTAATCCATTCACTCGTTCGCTAATTCACGCACTTCTCGACGCGAATTCACTCTGGAGACGAAGTCACTCAGTCGGGCACGATATTTTGTCTCTCTCACCCATTCACGAATTCACTCACTTCAGACGCGAATTCACTCACTTGGGCCCACACACCAGCGAGTAGTACATCCGCGCCGTCCAACTCTATGGCTCTGATCCGATGTTTTGTTGTTGTTGTTATTGTTGTTTGTTGTAGGATTCCGCGTTGATGTCTTCACTCCTGCTCGAAAATTATTTCGGCGGTTTTGATGGCTTCTAACCGGTTTTTCAAGGATTTCGGTTTTTCCAGTTCTGAAAATTCGTTGCAGTGGTAAGCCCCTGATTGTTGCTTCAGAACCGTTTTTTTTCTCCGAACCGGTTTTGATGGCCGTGATATCCCGTTTGAAATATGCGGCTTTGAACGTTCCGATCCTGATGTCTCGTATGGCTATGATCAAACCTGTTCAGGATGTATTAATACGACATTTGATGGCTTTAATCCAGGTTTTCTTTTGTTTCCCCGCTATCTTCCTCGATGACGTTTCGAACTATTCGTCTTGGACGATCCGGCTTGGGCAGTCCGGTTTAAACGATCCGATTTTGAACAATCCGGTTTTGGATAATCCCGCAGAGTACGCCGATAAAAATAAACCCTCCACACGAAAAAAATAGATCCGGCTTTATTTGGCACGGGTTGAGTATATTCTGATCCGGTTTATTGTCACCCAGATTTAATATTTCCCCTAACCGGTTGCAGAGTCGATTGATCCCGAGGATTGTCTGCGCGGTCCAGCACGGTGATGATTGATGACGGTGGGGGGTTTTCTCTTTTCTATTCAGGATCAGTATTTTTTTATTGATCGGCTTCGGCTTGATTGGAGACGATGTTTCTCTAATCGAATATGCTTTTGGAAGTTCTGAACCCGGTTTAGAGCGAGAGCGAGAGAGAGAAAGAGGTCTGAAAAGAAACCGAAGATGCGGGGTGGATCGAGTTGACTGGATTGGATGGTCCCGCCTTGAAGGGCTCCGATCCGGTCCGCGTGTTGTTCTGTTCCGTTTGAGAGAGCCTATTCACAACATCCTAGAACCGTTGATCCCGAATTTGAAGTGCCACAAATCCAGTTCCCACGATCCCGGTAGAGTGATCCGATCCAACTGGGGCTTAGGCGCCAGGTTTTCAGGATCGCTGAGCCCGCTCCACTCCAACGGAATCTGAGGTTGAAATCGCGCGCTGATTAGAATGGTGATGACTGTCGTGGAGATAATGATGATAATGATAGTGACTCGTGATGATGATGATGATAGCGATGATGGTGACTCAGGGTGATAATTGACGTTCGTGGCAGGTAAATATGGATATCATGCTGTTGTAACTAGTCTATAATGATTGTAACGATAGTCCATTATGACGATTGTAACGACAGTCTATGATGATGATTGTAACTACTGTCTGATGATTGTGACTACAGACTATTATGAATGATTACAACTACAGGCTATGATGATGATTGTAACTACCGTCTATGACCGCAACCAGGGTGTTGAGTGGTGATGATTACAACATTAAGCGTGCAGCCCGCAGTACAGAAAGCAGCAGCATCACCACCAGCACCACTGTTTAAATGAGGTTCGTGAAGCAGACGAGCAGGAAGACTCGCGCACACTCTCTCTCCCCCATCTCTCTCTCTCCCCCCCAGCTCCCCCTCTCTCTCTTCCCCCCATCTCCTCCATTCTCCCCCTCTCTCTCTCTCCCCCATCTCCCCCTCTCTCCTCTCTCTCTCCCATTTTCCTCTCTCCCCCATTTTCCTCTCTTCCTCTCTCCCCCATTCTCCCTCTCTCTCTCTCCCCCCCATTCTCCCTCTCTCTCCCCCTCTCCCCCATCCCTCTCTTTTTTACGATCAGAGGAAACAAGAAGATGCTCGGTGTAGTCGGCACTTTGCTCCGTTCATCATTTCGCTTTTTTTTGTTTTTTTTTAATGCTTTGCTTTATGTAACACCCCCCCCCCCCCCCTTTTAAATGAAAGACCCAAAAAATGTTTTTCTTTTTTCTTTCCCCTTCCCTCTCTCTCTACCCCCCTCTCTCTCTACCCCCATCTGCCTCTCCTCTCTCTCTCTGCCCCCCTCTCTCTCTGCCCCCCTCTCTCTCTGCCCCCTCTCTTCCTACTCCATTTCGCTCTCTCTTGCTCACTCTCTCGCTCTCTCTTTTTTTATAACTACGACAAGTGCTGCACCTGCACGCAGCCCTTCCCACAGTCAAACGGCCTCCGACGGGTAGCTCAGATCTGCACGCAGAGCTCTCCGTCATCTGCCACCGAGCACACGGCCTCCTCCAGCGCCCACTGCTCCTTGAAGGCCGGCACGGCGTGGGTCAGCTGTGCGTGGCGGAACTCCGGCCCACACCCTGGCTCCGACCAGAGCGCGGAAGATGCCCAGGCTGCTGGTTGGACGTTGCCCCTCCAGGGCCACCGTCCTCGCCCTGTATATGGCGAGCTTGGCGTAGCCGAAGAGCACGTTGACCGGCCCCTGAAGATGTTGGGGTCCGTCGCCCTTCGGGTATCCAAAGATGAGGACCGTCGGGGAGAAGTGGAGGCTGAACCTTAGGAGGATGTTTCTCTCAGGACCTTGAACAGCGAGTCCAGGCTCTTGCACTCCACGTATTGGTGCGCCACCGTCTCCACTTTACCGCAGAACCGGCACTCCGGGGACGTGTCGGTGAAGCGCGCCAGGGAGACATTGGTGGTGATGGTGCCGTGGGCGATGCTCCAGCTGAGGTCGCCGATGCGGTTGTACGTCGGGCTGGAGTAGAGTTGCCTCCAGCGAGGCCTCTCTGGAGAGATGCAAGGCAGGGCTTTCCTCCAGGCGTGGTCCTTGTGGCTCCTCAGGGTGTCCTGTTGGTGAAACTGGACCATGTAGGAGTAGAGCACCTTCCTCTTTACATTTGTGAAGGCCACCTCCGGTAGGTCTTCTAGCCGGCACAGGTTGTGATCCGCCTTCGTTTGTCGGCATTGGCGATGCAGTGGCATGACTGAGAGCTCCGGTGGAGGGAGACCAAGAGGGGCCTCGTCATCCCCAACGCCGATGGAGGGCGTTCTCCCCGCTGCCGCTGAGAAGGCCCCCTTGGCTTCGGCCAGGATCCGGGCAGCCACCCGGAGAGACTGCAGCCCTGTCTTTGCGGCCATGTCTGCTGGTCGCGGCCATGTCTGCTGGTCCGAGCCACCGGCCCCGTTTTTCAGGCTCCACCAGATCTCCCATTCTGGTGAGCCGCGCGTTGGCGAGGCGCATCTCCGTGCCTGGGGTGGTGGTGGTGGATGGCAGCTTTGTCTGCGGGTTCCTGAGGATCGGTTCGAAGACCAAATCCTCGGCCGATCGCGGTTGGTTCAGCCTCCTGACGGCGAGGGAGCTCCATGTCTGCAGGACGCTTCTGTAGAAGGGTGGCAGCTGTCCCAGTGGGAGGCCCTACAGGTCCATGTAGAATAGTTGCTTGGAGCACTGCAGATCCCCCAGCTGTTTCAGGAGGAAGGAGGCCGTGACCCTCTCTCTCTCCCCCATCTCCCCCTCTCTCTCTCCTATTTTCCTCTCTTCCCTATTCTCCCTCTCCCTCTCTCCCCCATCTCCCCCATTCTCCCTCTCTCTCCCCCATTCTCCTTCTCTCTCCCATCTCCCTCTCTCTCTCCCATTTCCCTCTCTCTCTCCCATCTCCCTCTCTCCCCCATTCTCCCTCTCTCTCCCTCTCTCTCCCTCTCTCTCCCTCTCTCTCCTCCATCTCCCTCTCTCTCCCCCATCTCCCTCTCTCTCCCTCCCTCTCTCTCCCTCTCTCTCCCTCTCTCTCCCCCATCTCCCTCTCTCTCCCATTCTCCCTCTCTCTCTCTCCCCCATCTCCCTCTCTCCTCCATCTCCCTCTCTCTCCCCCATCTCCCTCTCTCTCTCCCCCCTTTCGCCACTCCCTCCCCGTGCACTCGCCCCTCTCGTCTCCCTCCCCGCTCTCCCCCCTCTCTTTCTCTCTCTCTTGTCTGTCTTCTCTCTTCCTTTCATCTCACACTCTCACCTCCGTCTCGCTCTGCTCTCTCCCTAAACTCTCCCCATCTCTCCGTGCCCTTTCCTTTTCCCGCTTTCTCCCTCCATCCATTTCCCTCACTCTGTCCCCTCTCTCCGACCCATCCCTCCCGCCTTTTTTATTTTTTACTATCAGAGGAAACAAGCAGATGCTCGGTGTAGTCGGCACTTTGCTTCGTTCATCTTAAATGAAAGATTTCACGAACGACTTCACACTCTGCTCTCTTCCTTCTTACCCCTTCCCTCTCTCTCTCTCTACCCCCTCACTCTACCCCCTCTCTCCCTGCTCTATGTCCCCCCTGTTGTCTATGTAATATTTATATTTTTAACTACGACAAGTGCTGCATCTACACCCAGCTCTCCATGCAGAGCTCTCTACCGTCTTCTACCACCGAGCACCCCCTCGCTCTCCCCCACTCTCTCTCCCCCCCCCCTCTCTCCCCCCCCCTCTCTCCCCCCCCCTCTCCCCCCCCTCTCCCCCCCCCTCTCTCCCCCCCCTCTCTCCCCCCCCCTCTCTCCCCCCCCCTCTCTCCCCCCCCCTCTCTCCCCCCCCCCTCTCTCTCCCCCCCTCTCTCCCCCCCTCTCTCCCCCCCTCTCCCCCCCCTCCCCCCCCCTCTCCCCCCCTCTCCCCCCCCCCCCCCCCCCCCCCCCCCCCCCCCCCCCCCCCCCCCCCTCTCCCCCCCCCCCCCCCCCCCCTATCCCCCCCCTCTCCCCCCCCCCCTCTCCCCCCCCTCTCCCCCCCCTCTCCCCCCCCTCTCCCCCCTCTCCCCCCCTCTCTCCCCACTCGTCCCTGCCTCTCTCCCCCCCCTTTCTCCCCTCTCCCCCCCCTCTCTCCCCACTCGTCCCTGCCTCTCTCCCCTCTCTCTCCCCTCTCCCCCCCCTCTCTCCCCACTCGTCCCTGCCTCTCTCCCCTCTCTCTCCCCTCTCCCCCCCCTCTCTCCCCACTCGTCCCTGCCTCTCTCCCCTCTCTCTCCCCTCTCCCCCCCCCTCTCTCCCCACTCGTCCCTGCCTCTCTCCCCTCTCTCTCCCCTCTCTCCCCCCCCCCTCTCTCTCCCCCCCCCCCCCTCTCTCTCCCCCCCCCCCCTCTCTCTCCCCCCCCCCCCTCTCTCTCCCCCCCCTCTCTCCCCCCACCCTCTCTCCCCCCACCCTCTCTCCCCCCACCCTCTCTCCCCCCACCCTCTCTCCCCCCACCCTCTCTCCCCCCACCCTCTCTCCCCCCCTCTCTCCCCCCCCTCTCTCCCCCCCTCTCTCCCCCCCTCTCTCCCCCCCCTCTCTCCCCCCCCCCCCTCTCTCTCCCCACTCGTCCCTGCCTCTCTTCCTCTCTCTCCACTCATCCCTGCATCCCCCCCTTCTCCCCCCCCCCCCTCTCTCCCCTCGTCCCTGCCTCCCCCTCTCTCTCCACTCGTCCCTGCCTCCCCCTCTCTCTCTCCACTCGTCTCTGCCTCTCTCCCCCCCGCCACGTGCTCAGGGCGGGGACTCTCCACGCGTGCGCCACGGAGAGTGGGAGAGGGGTGGTGGTGGTGGTGTTAGTGGTGGTGGTGTTAGTGGTGGTGGGGTGGTGGTGGTGGGGTGGTGGTGGTGGTGGGGTGGTGGTGGTGGTGGTGGGGTGGTGGTGGTGGTGGGGTGGTGGTGGGGTGGTGGTGTTAGTGGTGGTGGTGGGGTGGTGGTGTTAGTGGTGGTGTTAGTGGTGGTGTTGTTAGTGGTGGTGGGGTGGGGTGGTGGTGGTGTTGGTGGTGGTGTTAGTGGTGGTGATAGTGGTGGTGTTAGTGGTGGTGTTAGTGGTGGTGTTAATGGTGGTGTTAGTGGTGGTGGTGTTAGTGGTGGTGGTAGTGGTGGTGTTAGTGGTGGTGGTGTTAGTGGTGGTGGTGTTAGTGGTGGTGGTGGGGTGGTGGTGTTAGTGGTGGTGGTGTTAGTGGTGGTGTTAGTGGTGGTGTTAGTGGTGGTGTTAGTGGTGGTGTTAGTGGTGGTGTTAGTGGTGGTAGTGGTGGTGGTGTTAGTGGTGGTGGGGTGGTGGTGTTAGTGGTGTTAGTGGTGGTGTTAGTGGTGGTGGTAGTGGTGGTGGTAGTGGTGTTAGTGGTGGTAGTGGTGGTGGTGTTAGTGGTGGTGGGGTGGTGGTGTTAGTGGTGTTAGTGGTGGTGGGGTGGTGGTGGTGTTAGTGGTGGTGGGGTGGTGGTGGTGTTAGTGGTGGTAGTGGTGGTAGTGGTGGGGTGGTGGTGTTAGTGGTGTTGTTAGTGGTGGTGGTAGTGGTGGTATTAGTGGTGGTGGGGTGGTGGTGGGATGGTGGTGGTGGTAGTGGTGGTGGTAGTGGTGGGGTGATGGTGTTAGTGGTGTTGTTAGTGGTGGTGGTAGTGGTGGTGGTGGGGTGGTGGTGTTAGTGGTGGTGTTACTGGTGTTAGTGGTGTTGTTGGTGGTAGTGGTGGTGTTAGTGGTGGTGGGGTGGTGGTGGTGTTAGTGGTGGTAGTGGTGGTGGTGTTAGTGGTGTTGTTAGTGGTGGTGGTAGTGGTGTTGGTGTTAGTGGTGTTGTTAGTGGTGGTGTTAGTGGTGGTAGTGGTGGTGTTAATGGTGGTGTTAGTGGTGGTGGTGTTAATGGTGGTGTTAGTGGTGGTGGTGGTGGTAGTGGTGGTGTTAGTGG